TACATAGATTCATTTCTTCCCATTAAAGATTAATTATCAGCTGGTTGTAGATTCTTCCCGGACCCTGGGAGAGGACTATCGAGGGGCTGGACCCCCATAGTCCCCGATAGTGTGGGACTGGAGAGATGACTCAGCAGGTAAGAACACTTTTTGGTTTTGTGGAGGACCCAGGTTTGGTTCCTAGCACCCACCGGGTGACTAACATAACTGGAGTCTGTAACACCAGAGCATCCAAGCTCCTCACTCTCTTCTGGCTGTCGTGGGCACTGCATATCCTTGATGCACACATACACAAAGCCAAAGAACACACATACACATAAAATAAATATAAATCTTAAGAAAACGAACCTGGTGATTAACTCCCTTATGCCAGTGGTTCAGCTCAGGATGCATGTTAGAATCATCCCAGGATTTGAAAGACGAAACACTGAAGCCAAAGTTCCATGTATCCAACTGATAAAAATCAGAGCTCTGTGTGTGAGCCTGCATGGGTATCCTTCAAAGGTCTCCAAGTGAGTCCGCACAGAGCCAGACTTAACTACACTTTTAGCTGAAAGAACTCTGAGAAGAACGGTAACAGAGAAGAGAGGAAAAGAGCTGGAAGAACATGGGCAGCGTGGACAAAAGGCATTGGCTTTAATCCTGAGCACTGAAAGTGACTCATTAGGAAGGAGACACGGTAAGGGAGCAGGAAAGCTCTGCGAAGCATCGGGAAAGGGCAAGGAATGCCAAGAAGCAGGGTCTCAATGTGCAGCCTGGTCTGGTAGGTAGCTGTTGACTTTGAAAGGTTATGTAATGGAACCATAGACAAAGAGGAAACTGAAGTTAGGGAGAGAGTGGGGAGGGGTGGGAAACTGGAAATGAGAGTAATTCAACTCTTTTGAGGAGTTTCGCTGTGGCGCAGAACAGAGAAACGGAACGGGGAGGATGCAGAAGGGGAGTGTGGGGTAAAGGCAGGTTTCTTTTCAGACGTGGAATCAGAGAGCATCCATCAGTTTCTGTACGGCCGGAGATGGTGATGGCAGGATGCTGATGCTGGGGACTGAATGGATGCGTGAGTCAAGTCCAAAAGAGAAACTCGCCTTCTTTGCATATGGATGTGTGCAGTATGTATACATGTGTGCTTTGCATATGCATGTGTGTAGTATGTGTACATGTGTGGGTTTCACATATATAGGTCTCTGTGTGTGTATGTTGTGTGTAAGCCAGAAGGTGACACTGAGTGTCTTTCTCCACGGCTTCCCACTTCGTTGAGAGCCTGTCACTGAAGCTGGATCTCACTGACTCTGGCTAGTCTACCTAGCCCGTTTACCATGGGGATCTTGTCTCTGCCTCCCAGGAGCTGGAATGACAGGTAGCAACACACCTCAGCTTTTACGTGGATTTTGGGAATCCCAACTCCAGAGACACATTCTTTATCCACTGAGCTATCTCCCCACCCACATCCTCAATAAAACGCTTTTAAAAAATATCTGTGTGTATTGGATGTTTTAACTGCATGTATGTCTGTGCACTGCATGTGTGCATTGTCTGTGGAAGCCAGAAGAGGACATTGGGTTCCCTAGAACTGGAGTTACAGATGGTTATGAGCTCAGGTCCTCTGGAAGAGCAAGCAGCCAGTGCTCTTAACTGCTGAGTCACCTCTCTAGAGCCCCGCCCACCCCAAGTAAAAATGTTAATGATTAAGTCTAATTTATACTTTAATCTTTGATGTTGGGTTTTTTTGTTTTGTTTTGTTTTGTGTGTGTGTGTGTGTGTGTGTGTCTGTGTGTAAGATTGAACCCAGGGTTTACCTCATACTAGGTAGGTCTTGTACCACTGAGCTCTGCCTCCGGTCCCACAGGACTTTATTTTTTAATTTTTATTGCTTCTTTATAGTTGGTAAAGCAGGCAGAGGTCTTCAGGTGTGTCTGCAAACTGGCTGAGTTCCACTAGGCCCGAGTGTTTTGAATGTGTACCCTCTAGAGCCCTCGTCCTGTCCTTCCCCCCCACACCACTCCCACCTCTGCCTGTCGCCTCCTCCACAGCTTCCCTGCCTCGCTTTCCTCTATCCCCCCAGATCCAGCCTTCCTCTCGTTCCCTGCCAAGTCTGTTATCTCTTCAAGGATGACACCCAGTTTACTGCAGGGCAACAAGCAAGCACCTACTCTACCCCCTGAATGGCCCTCCGGAGCCTGGAAGTGCCAGGCTCCCGGCCTGCCTGGTTGTGCTTGCCCTTCTAACCCGGTGGAGGGCACTTCTGTCAACAGATCTCGTGTCTCCGATTGGCTGCCATTCCTGCTGCACAGAACCACACAGAGCCCAAACTACCTGTCTCCTGTCTGTCGGCTCAAGTGGGTTTCAGGCCAGTGGTGACTGAAGTCAGGCGCAGAACACTCAGTCTCCGGGCCCAGCATAAAGGCCTGGAGTTTGCTACAATGAACACAAGGGCCCTGTGTGCCAGTAGAGACCCAGGAGAAAGAGAGATAGTGTGGACTATGGGCCATAGGCAGAACCAAACGGGGGGCTGGTAGGCAAGCTTTATTATTGGTCGATCTGTACACTGTCCGCTGGGAGGGGGGAGGGCAGCGTGCGCCTTCTCCCCAGGCTGCCTGGCCTGTCCCTGTAGGTCACAGTAGACAGGGGATAGGTCTGAAGTTGCTCCCTCCAGTTCCTGGGAGATCACCTCTGTCCTGCTGCCACTGCACAGGCCTTCAGGGCCGGTCACAGGGAGCAGGGCCCTTCTTCCGTTCCCGAGTCAGCAGGGTCACCAGCTTGGCCTTAATGCCTGTCTGTGCACTGGAACGGACAGTTCCTCCAGCCTTGTCTAGCTCCAGCTCCAGCAGCCTCCGGTACTGGGCTTCCAGGTTGCTGTCCTGGGCCGAGCCCGGCCAACTCAGGTCCTCACTGTTGTGATAGATGGGGCTGGCCAGGGGGCTGTGGCCACCAGGAGGGCCCTCTTGGGACTCGGGACCCCCATTGGACAGCCCAGGACTGGCCTCCAGCATGCACAGGTTCTCATAGAGGTGCTCCCCAGTGGCTGTGGGCCTGCTGGTCTGCTTGCACACGGATGCATAGAGACTGGATACTGTTCCTTCTTGCGTGGGACTGAGCAGCAGTGGCAGGCTTTGGGGCCCAGGGTCAGTCATAGGCAGCTTTCTGGAAGTGGCCAGCTCAAATCCTGGGGCCACCTCCCGAAGCTCTCCAGGGGGCTCTAGGGAGGGCAGGGAGAGGGCCCGAGGCAGTGGGCAGGGTGGGGACGTGGCTAACTCTGGAAGCCGTTCCCGCTGGCGGGCAATGGCAGCGGCCACAGCTCCACATATGTCTGGGGCACGTGGACTACTGAAGGCAAAAAGGCCCTCGCCCGAGTCACAACGGCGGCCAGCCTCAAAAGAGAACACGCCCTGCACACAAGCGACACAGGCGGGTGTCAGTGGCCGAGGAGCCAGGACACGGACCACCTACCACCTTTCCCGACAGGGACCCGTCCCGCTGGTCAGCACCTCACCTTGTCAGAGCCGAACTTGCGCAGGAAACGGTAGGGCCAGCTGTAGCAGGCCTGGGGGCTGGAAGTCTCCCGAAGCTGAATGTCATCTTGGCCCAGCACCAGGAGGTAGGGTCCTTTCAGCTGGCAGCGGGTGGTGGCCTCTGTCCGCTGCACTACCACTGGGAACTCACTCACTGTACTCAGGAAGCAAGGACATTGCATCAGTTCTCAGGGACCACTGCTGGGGTGGGTGTGAGGCTGCCCGAGGGTGTCCCCTGAGTCACCTTCCTGCCAGGAGGAGTAGATAGAGTTTTCCTCCATGGGAACAAAGCCCCTTTTTGGAGTCTCAGCCTGTCCTGATCCGGAACATTCTCCGGTGCCCTGAGGAATAGATTTTAGTCAGCAGTTAGAGCCTGCCCGGTTCCTTCCCCCCACTCCTCCTATGGGGTCAGCGGGCAATAGCTTCCATGCACTGGTCCCGCTCTGCCTCCCACTCTGCAGGGGCAGCGATCCCCACTGGGCTCCCCAGTGCTGGTCCTGGAGCAAAGCCATCTCTGTAGGCTATTCCTAGTGCACCAAAGCACCAAGGGTGTCTCTGTAGCCCACGTGTGCGGCCAGGGGCTGGGCTGGCTTCCATAGGGCTCTGACAGCGTGGAGCAGGTCACCCCTGACCTTCCCTGACTCCCATCCCACAGCCAGTCCCGAGGTTCTTTCCGTTTCTGATTGCCCACCATAACTACCTTGACCCACGAGCACGGCCAAAGCCAAACCCCGCTTCCTTTCAACCCGTGCATGTCTTAATTTAAAAACAAGTGGTACAAGTCGACTTTACTGTTTTCCAAGTGGTTTACTTATTTTTATTTTATGTGCATTGGTGTTTTGTCTGTGTGAGGGTGTCAGGTCCCCTGGAACTGGAGTTACAGACAGCGGTGAGCTGCCATGTGGGTGCTGGGAATTGAACTCAGGTCCTCTGGAAGAACAGCCAGTGCTCTTAACTGTTGAGCCATCTCTCCAGTCCCCAACTTTACTATTTTAAGGTACCCAATTCAGTGGTTTTTAGTATATTCACCAGGTTGTGTAGTCATAGCAGCACCTAATTCCAGAACTTGTCATCACCACAGATGACAGTCCAGCGCCCATGAGCCGCCGCCGCTGCCCACTCCCCTCCCACGGTCCCGGCAACCATGCACCTGCATTCTGTCCGTATGGATTTGTTTGTTCTGGGTAGATCACACAAATTTAAAAAGCATATGTGCTACCTTTTGTGCTTAGCTTCTTTCACATTGTATTTTTTCTTTTTTTTTTTTTTTTGGTTTTTCGAGACAGGGTTTCTCTGTGTAGCTTTGGAGCCTTTCCTGGCCTCGAACTCACAGAGATCCGCCTGCCTCTGCCTCCCGAGTGCTGGGATTAAAGGCGTGCGCCACCAACGCCCGGCCACATTGTATTTTTTCAAGGCTCCTTTTTTATTGTTTGTTTTTGAGACAGGGTCTCAAGTAGCCCAGGCTGGCCTGGAACTGGCCATGTCGCTAAGGACGACCTTGAATTGCTGAACCTTCTTCCTCCACCTTCCAAATGCTGGGGTTACAGGCCTGGGCCACCCTGTCCAAATTAAGGTTTTACTTACGTCTTCATCAGGGGATGGTCCTCTGTTGTCTCATCTCTTGGCAATGGTGGCTGCCATGAGCACTGGTGGTCACATTTTGCCTGAATACCTCTTTTCATTCTCTTGGTTGTACATGAATCAGGAGAATTACAGCCATATTGTAACTCCATGATTGGTTTTAAAAAACATTTATTACCTATTGCTATGTGTATGGGGGTTTTGCCTATATGTGTTTGTGTACTACATGTGTATAGTTCTCAGGGAGGCCAGAAGAGGGTGTCTGATCCCATGGGACTTACAATTTTGAGCTGCCAAGTGGGAATTGAACCTGGGTCCTCTGCAAGAGGAGCCAGTGCTCTAACCACTGAGCCATCTTGCCAGCTGCTCCATGATTCCTTTCTGAGGATCTACCAGGCTTGTTTGTTTTCCTATCATGAACTCTGCGTCTTCACAACCATTATCCCCTGGCTTTACTACTCCAGAGCCAGCCTTTCTGATCAGTCTAAAACCTCCAACCCACATGTGGCCCAAGATGGTTTCAAGAGGCTCTCACTGAATTTCCCAAATCCACTGACTTGTATGCCTTGGCTGCTGGCTGGCCCATTTCTGCTCTTTAAATCACCGTGTTTCCCTGCCCCAGGACCTTTGCCCGTGATACCAGTGTTATCAATATGTGTCAGTGTGTCTTAGACACCCTTCTCAAGCCTCTGCCTGATGAGTCCTCACCTGTCATTTCAGGGCTCAGGCCCACTGTCTCCTCCTTAGAGAGATCTCCTGATCTACCGTTTGATTTTCTAGCATGCATGGGGATCTGGAATTCATTCTGTGGGTTCTGAGCTGTTGCCCCGATTTGCCAGGTTTTGGCATGCTTACCAAGTGGCAGGGTCTAACTAAGCAAGGACATGAGGAAGAGGGCTGAGGTGGTTCCCCCAGGCCAGTTCACTTTGCACTCACCGGGAAGGCCAGCTGGCAGATGGGGCCCATCCATGACTGGCGGTGCTGGGCGGCCAGCAGGTGGCTTTGTTCAGTGGTGGTAATCAGGAAGGCACCAGTGTCCCTGGGACAACTCTCACAGTCCGCAGGCAGAACAGACACACAGTCAGCCAAGCGTATGACCCGACGTTCCCCTCGCCGGCCAGGCCCTGTGGCTCTGTCGCTTGCTGGCCCCAGGCCACCATCACGAACATCCCAGCTTTCCAGCCGAGCTACGCCTGATGGGCCTCCTGCATACAGCAGAGCCCACACTTTGCGCCAGTATTTCTGTAAAGAAGAAGACCCTTGGCAAGAAGGCTCCCCCTGCCACTTGGCTCTGTACAAGCTGCTGAGCAACTGGCCGCCTGGCTTCTGCCTCCCTAAGACTGTGGAAGGAGGAGGCCTTGTTAGGGAAAAGGTAAGCAGGAAGAAGTCTGTATTTAGGGTTGGTCAGCTCTGAGTTCAAATCCCACCCTGCCCTTTTCTGAATGACCCCATAGCAATAGCATGCTTCTCTCTCAAGGCCATGAGAATGTGAGCCTGGGACTTCGTCTGGATTGTCTGCAAATCTAGTGGTTGGAGCAGGCCAACTGACATGGCTGTTATGCTATCTACTGCCACCCCCCAACCAGAAAGGGCACTTAGGCCGGGGCTGGGTGCGGTGGGAAGGAGGCCTCAGCTTCATGCTGGTAAGGAAGGAAACATGCAAATGATATCTAGCAAAGGAAACAGTTTTTCTACCCAGGGAGCAGCTGCAGCTAACTGTGGGCGTACAGTCTGATGCTCAAGAAGGAAAACGGACCCCAGCCCCTTTCCTCCCCAGCATCTGGAAGGAGACCCAGTCTTTGTCTGCAGGCTGCTGCTCCATCCTTGGAAGGCTCCTGCCACTCAGGCCTTGACCTTCTCCAGGAGCTTTGGAGCCATCACACACACAGGTTTTGATTAAGACCCTTCCATAGTCTTAGCATCTCTACAGCTCTCTGGGGCAGTCTTAAGGGATGCTTCAGCCCTCATCTCAGGCCAAGAACCTCCATTCCCAAATCCCCAGGTTTCAGCCCACCCAGATTCCTTTCCCAGTTCTCTCAGGTCTAGACAGGCTATCTAGCTGAGCAGAGGTTTCTCTCTCTGCCCGTGGCTGGCAGCCTGAGGTCCCCACCTTGCCAAACTTCACGTGCTGCTGGTATAGGATGCCGTCCTTGACAGGGGTCTCCAGAGACTCCATGGCCACGGCTGTTCTGAAGATCCGAGGAGACCGGTGACAGGCTGGACAGGAACTCCTCTCACTTCCCCTTCTAGCCACTTCCCCCTCCCTCTGTCCAGAGACAGCTGCAGGGCCAGGGGGAGGGGAGCCTGGTCTTCACTGAAGGGATAGTAGTCAGGACCAATCTCTCTCTTAGGGTTCTGGCTGTTCCAGGACCACACCTGCCTACTGGGAGCTTGAGGCCACTGGGGGGCCACTGCCTCTTGCGCATGCACCTGGATCAGCTGGTCCTGAGTGTCTGACCACAGGATGGGTGAGTCACGAGCTCTGAACCCTCCCCCACCCCCAGGCGGCTGTGCACCCCGAGGATGGGAACTGTACAGCCCTGGCCCTATCCTTGGACCCTCCCCTCCCCTCTCCAGATTGCTGAACTCCTGGCTGCCATTCTGAGGCCTACACGCCTCTCTAGCAGGATCAATCCAGGGCCTTGGGTATGCTAAGGCAATTGCTCTGCCACTGAGCTACACTCCCAGCCCCAACAGAAATATTCCTAAAGTTCACTTTCTCTTCTCCATCCTTACCCGACCTGGGCCCACCCTGGCTGTCCACCAACCCCATTATTCCCTTCCAGTCTAGTCTGGGCCATTCCACCCTGTGTGCTCTTGCCTTGACTTCCTGAGCTGTGTTTCTTCAGATCAGTCCCTTCTGGGTTACCCTTACCACTGCTCTTCCTGCCCAGCTGGCTGCTTCTTCCTGGAGGCCCTCCCTGACCACTCTTCAAGGTCAGAGACTGAAGCAGCCCCACAGCACGTCCATCAGGCGGCAGTCCACAAGGGCTCCAGCCAGGCGTACTGCCTGTCACACTGAGTGTGGGTGGCAGGTCCCCAGGGTGCTCCCCAGGGAGGTCACATGCTCCTTACAGCTTTGCTTCCTGCCCAGTGTCGTCCCCCCCACCCAGCCTTGCTGGAGCCCTCTGTTGGGGCTGTGCATGAGTATGAATTATGGGAAGTATCTTGTCACTCATGTAATGTCACGTTGGGAAAGAATGCTGTAACCAGACTGAGAAATGCTCTTTAGGGGTCACACCGTAGACATGGAAATACATTCAAGGGGCCTTTTGGTTCCTGGCTCTTGCCCACTATGGTCCAGGCGGCTCCAAGCTTACACAGCCCGATCCTATCCTTTGCATTCTCACTGACATTTCAACAATGAGGAAATTAAGGCTCAGATATGTTAAGTAACTTGCTGGAGGCCACACACTAAGTGACAAACATGGGTTGAGCAACTGCTGTCTGCTGAATCAGCATATGTCTTACAATGTCCTGGCGCAGAGAAGCCGAGATGCCTGGCGACTGCTGTGCACTTCTTTGCCCCCTCTTGCTGCAGGGTCAAGTTCTGGTTGGTGGGCTAGGCTACAACAGGCATCTGCATGTAAGACTCTTACCTGTGGCTCCCAGTCAGGGCAGCATCTGCCTGGCTCATTTCTGTCCTTACAGCCCAGAAGAGAGTGGGGTGGGGCAAGGCAGAGGGAGAGGGTGTCTGTGGCCGGAATGGCAGTTCTGTGGCATCTACCACTTCCTCAGCAGATGGAGCCAAGGATTTCCGACTGGGCGGCTGCACAGGCAGGGAGGGGTAGCCAAAGAGGCTTCAGAGGCCCTGGCACAATCACGGGAAGAGGGAGACGAGCAGCAGGGTCAGAGGGCAGAGAGACCAGGGACCCAGCCATGACCCCAACTGTGGCTCCTCTGAGCTATTGGGCATTCCTGACCAGATGCCCCAAGCCCCGAGATGGGCACACCAGTCAGTCAGTCAGTCAGTCCCTTCTATAGCAGGCTGGCAACTCTGGGAGACGTTGATGTCTTGCCTCAGGGTGGTATTGGAGCAGAGGGTGAGGCTTGTTCGGGAACTGGGGGACAGGTGGGTGAGAAAGAGGAAGAGCTGGTCTGAGATAGAGGGGACTGTGCTTTAATGGCAGCTGGGGAAGGAGAAGAAAAATAGTAATTCTGGGGGGCACTGGGATGGCCCAGGCCAGCTGGGCCAAGGGGGCTGGCTTCTTGTCTTGAGGGCTGGTGTATGCATGGCTGGAGTCTTGCGACTGATGCCTCTTGAGGAGAAGAGGGAAGAGAGACGGCTCAGAAGTCCATGGAGCTGTGGGCCAGGTAGTCCTTGCGGCCAATATTGCTGACCTGCTTGGTCTGCATGGCTTCGAGTTTGGGGCAGTCAGTGATCCGATGGCCAAGGCCTCCACAGAAGGCACAGCCACGCTCTCCTGGGAGTGGAGAGAAGGGTCAGCAAGGTCATAGGACCAAGTTTCAGGCCCTAGATCTTGACCCCAGGCTGGCCCTACCAGCCTGGGCTGGTTTCCTGGCATTTCAGTCTATTTGCCTTACCAGCCCCAAGCCGCCCAGCTGTACACTGGAGACGGGGCTCAACACTTACCTCCAATGTCCAGCATGGACTCATCCCCACAGTGCAGCACTTGTAGAACAGGCGGGACCTTCTGCTTGGCCTCCAGCAGCAAGGCTTTGAGGTCCATGAGCACTGACTCATCTAAGGAAGAGGGAGAATGGGCACCATCAGGCTCCGTCCTGGAGCTCCATCCTGGATAGCGACATGTGGAGGACCCAGGGTGGAGCCAAGGTAGCTATGGAGACAGACTCACCACAGGCCTTGTTGATGAAGGTGGTGGCAATGCCCGTGTTTCCTGAACGCCCAGTGCGGCCAATTCGGTGCACTGCAATGAAAGGAACCGCTTCTAGCCCGCTACCCGGACGCCTGGTCCCCGTCCTGTCCAGCCCATCAGTATCACAAGCTCCCTACCATAGTTCTCGATTTCCTCAGGCATGTCATAATTGATGACGTGCTGGATGGCAGGAAAGTCCAGGCCTTTGGAGGCCACATCTGTGGCCACTAAGACATCCTTTTTACCTTCCCGGAATGCCTCGATGGCCTTGGTCCGCTCTTCCTGGTCTAGGGTGGATAACGTATATGTCAGAACTATAGTAGGAATGTTGGGAGTAGCACACGCTGGCCGGGCAGGGGCAGGGAATGGGAAGGAAGGGAGCTGTCACAGCAGCAGGTCTATGCCAATGTAGTGACTATCCTGACCTTTGCCCCCATGAATGGCCACAGCCTCCACCCCCTTGAGCAAGAGGTATTCATGAATGGCATCCACATCTGCTTTCTTCTCAGCAAAGATGAGCACCTGCCCAAAAAGGTCAACTCTAGTCAGAGGGCATCATACCGCATCCCCCACCATTACCTCGTCCTGAGAAGCCTGGGACCAGCTAGTCCAGCTGTACTCACAGGAGGGGGTGTCTTCTGCAAGCACTCGAGCAGGTACACCATCTTGGCTTCCTCCTTCACATATTCCACCTCCTGCCACCACAGGGGTCAAGTCAGGTGATCTAGGTTAGTCATAGCCCTGACACTGCAGCTGGGCTCCCAGTGTGGGGTAGCTGACCTGGTAGCCTCTTGCCACTGAGGGCTGGGCAGCCTAAGAATGGCCTTGGCTAAAGGTCACAAGGTGGACTCTTCAGTTAGCATCAGGGGAGCGTGGCTAGCTTTAGCCTGTACTGGTAAGACTCTGCCCATTAGGAGTGCCCGCCTACCTGGATGACATCCAGGCTGGCTGCTCCAGCACGTCCCACATTGATGGTGACAGGCTTTACCAGGGCACTCTTAGCAAAGTTCTGAATCTTCTTAGGCATAGTGGCACTGAAGAGCAGAGTCTGTCGCTGGCCCTGAGGAAGGGTGAGGACTGGGGCTAAGGCAGATGGTTCTCAACCTGTGGGTCGTGATCCCTTTGTGGGTCCCCTATCAGATATCCTACATATCAGATATTTACATTATAATTTGTAACAGTAGCAAACTTGTAGTTATGAAGTAGCAACAAAAATAACTTTGGTTGGGGGTCACCACAACACAAGGAACTGTATTAAGGAGTTGCAGAATTAGGAAGGTTGAGAATCACCGAGCTATGCAGGGGTATGCAGGGGTAGATGGAGGGTAAAGGGGGGTGGGGTCTGAGGATGTTGAGTAGCTGAGACACAGACCCTGAAAAGCAGAGAGCCTCTGCAGGTCAGGATGGAGTGTGCGAGTATGTACACATCTGCGCAGGAGTGCCTGAGGGAGGCAGGGGTCGGCAGGGGTCGGCAGGGGTCGGGCACCTTGAAGTAGGAGAAGATGGTCCGGATGTCACCCTCAAAGCCCATGTCGATCATGCGGTCAGCCTCATCCAGGGCCAGGTAGCGACAGATGTCCAAACTGACCATTTTCTTCTGCAGCAAATCCATGAGGCGTCCAGGTGTGGCCACCATCATGTGCACACCACTGAGAACAAAGAGAAATCCCGAGGTCTGGGCTACCTGGCTCTCCCTGTCACCTCCCAGAGGCTACCCCTCGCCTTCTGCTTTGGCCGTTTCCCTCCCTGCCTCTCAGCACTTCCCCGTGCTGCCCTATATGCAGCACATGCTGCTTGTTTGGGAGGGAGGGACTGCACCTTCCTGGCGGGCACTTATCCTGACCACCTTCCCCAAGAAGGCTGTCCTGAGCCTCTCAGGGGAGCCCTGGTCCCTGTGTCCCTCTGTCGGCCTTGCTGGGCTCCCTTTCCTGATAAGGTGACTTTATCTTTTCTGTGTCTGCATCTTCCCTGAGCGAGCGAGCCTGTGGACACCTCAGACACAGGGATGGGTTCTAGTATGACTACGGTCCCAGGGCCTGGTCCAGAATGCTGCACACGGCGGCTGGGGATTGTACAACTACTACAGAGGTGCACTGGGGTCTGGCCCCACATCAGTACCTTAGTGAGTAGCTCTGAGTTTTCTGGACACCCTAGGTTTCAATCTGTGAGCGTTCTGCCTGGACTGCCCCGCTGCAAAATTCAAATGGCACCTTCCCTGCCAAGTCTTGACTTCTTACATCCCAGAGAGTGGGACATCCCATCTACCACATTCCCACGATACCCAGCCACATCCTTCCATCTCACCCCAACCTGTCTTCCCTCAAGGGCTGGACTCAGAGCTCTGTGAGGATTATGCAGAAGGTAAACTAAGAGTTCTTTTGCTTCTCGGGGAACTCTGGGAATGCCTGTGGGACGGGGTGTTTGTACATACTGTCGGATGGTCTCCATCTGCTCTTTCACTGACATTCCCCCGATGCAGAGAGCACAGCGCAGGAGGGGTGAGCTGTCCTCCTGCAGCAGACGGCAGTAATACTCCAGGATGCCATGGGTCTGCCGGGCCAGCTCTCGCTACAGGCACAGAGACAAGGCTGGTACCAGAAGTCATCCCCAGGCCTTATCTTGACCCCCAGGCTAGCCTATCTTACTGAGGGGCAGATGATGAGTCCATAAGGCCCTTCACGCTTGGAGAAAGGCAACCGCTTCTCTTGTTCCAGGCAGAACATGATGACAGGCAGCGTGAACACCAGTGTCTTGCCTGACCCCGTGAAGGCAATGCCAATCATGTCCCGACCGGACAGACTGTTGGGAGAGGAGAGCTTTAGGACTGGGCCCAGCAGAAGACAGCTGGACAAATGGGCACCGCTTCTCTGCTCTTCCCTTCCCTCAAGGACCCCATGCCCACAGCCCATACTTACATGGTAGGGATGCCCTGGATCTGAATAGGTGTTGGGTGGAGGATGCCCTTTTTTTTTAGGCCTCGAAGGATGGCTGTAAAAAATAATGGGTATTTAATTAGAGCCCTGGATCCTGTAAAATTAGCTCTTCCCTATAAGTTGCAAATCATGAAACAGGCTTGAAGACAGGAAACAGCGGGTCAATGCCCAGTGGCTGACTGGGGCCACATCTATCTAAGCCTAACATAACGTTTTCACTAAAGCTCTACCTAAGCAGAAGACTGAACATATACAGCTGAGGCATCTGCAAACAGGCCTAAAGAAACCCTTTCTCTAGCCAGGACTGGTATGCACACCTGTAACCCTGAAGCTGGGAGGCACAGCTAGGTAAATCTCTGAGTCTGAGGAAAGCCTGCCCGTATCAAGTTCTGGGACAACTAGGACTCCATAATGACATCTGGTTTCAAACCTACCCACCTTCTCACCTCCACACAGGGCATGGGAGGTCATGCCTACAATGTTAGCACTAGCATTCAGTTGGGATAAAGTAGGACTGCTTTGAATCTGAGGAGGTCAGCCTGGGCTGCAGAGTGAGATCCTGTCTCAAAAGAACATCCCCCCCAAAACTGACCACCACCACCACCACCCACAAAGTGAAATCCCATCTCAAACCTTCCATCCCCACTGCTGGTTCAGCTGGGGCTGGGACACAATCTCAGAGAGGCATGATTATAAAAGCATGGCATCTCCCCTCCCCTGCGTACCGGCGGGAAACTTCATTTCCTTGAAACTCTTGATGGGTGGTGGGATACCATCTCCTTCTACCAGGATGTGGTACTTCTTCCGAACTCGGTCATGGCGCTCTTCAGACATGCTCAGGACATAACGTGGGGGTGTCCAACTACGGGTAGGCAGCGCACAGGAGAGGTCAGCACGGGCTCTTAGTACGGCTGGGCACCAGGGTATCACTGCCAGTCTTCAGCCACACACATACGTTGACTGGCAAGACATACCTGGTTTTGATTGGATCATCATATGTGATGCCTTTGGCCATTTCCTTCACTGACATCAAAGCTGAGGAGACAGACATAGCTCAATGGGGCTCCTGCTTCCCAAAAGCCAGACCCCCTGGGACACAACCTGCTTGAGGTTGGGAGGAGGTAGCTCAGCCCACATCCTCTTTGCACCAGCTATAATCATTACCTCGGCCTTCAGCCACACTCTCCAGAATCTTTTCTTCTTCCTTCAGTTGCTTTTCCTTGGCCGACTCCTTGCGCGCTGACAAAAGAAGCCAAAGATGTCAGAGAGAGAGGAGCGCTGCGGCCCAGGCTCAGCCTCTCTCCTTCCTGCTCAGCCCACCTTCAGCCTTCTCTTTGAGGTGCTGGTGCTGATCCAGGAGGCTGACATTGGACTGAGGGCCCAGCGGGATGTCGTCCTCATCTCCTCGGGGCTCACTGCCACTGTCCTGCTGCTCTTCCTCCGCAGCTCCCTTGCGTCTTCGCTGCAGCAGCTTCTGGAGCTGAGGTCCCACCAGTGTCCCTCAGAGTCAAGCCCAAGACTCGGTAGGTGGGGGGCATAGCACCGGGATGGTCGGCGCCGGGACCCTGGCTTTCTCCGGAAGGGGGGGTCGTGTGCGCTGAAGCGCACGTCTGTCCGGAGCTCAGCTAGGTCCCCAGTCCCTCATCTGCCTCAGAACCGCGCCCCCAGGTACTACTCGGGCTCCCCGATGGCCCCTCCCGCTGGCGGCCGGGGACACGCCCCCGTGGCCCCCAGGAATGCCGCCCCTCACCAGTAGCTGCCGGCGCTGGCGCAACGGCACATAGGGAACGTAGTCCTCGTCGTCTTCATCCTCGTCCTCGGAGCGGCTCCCTCCCGCGGCCGCCTCGTCCGCGCGAGCCCGCTGCAGAGACCCAAGTCAGCCCGCGGCCCCTCCCCCTTCGCGCTCCCCCTCGCGTGGACCCGGCCTCACTCCCACCTTTCGCTCGGGTTCCGACTCCTCCATCTTTGGCCGCGCACATGCGCAATGCCAGGGCAAAAAAAACCACGCCTCATCTGAGCTCCAATCAGATGGAGAAAAACTGTAGTCGTCGCCTAGCAACGCCCTGAGCGCCGGATCGCGTGTTGGGACAAACTTTCTTCAGCGCTTTTGTGGGCGGGTACCAGAGCTTATTGACAGTGTCTGGCAAAGCTTTGTGGGTAACGGAGGACTTGAAGCATGCGCAGAAGACTCAACACGTGTGATGAAAGGATGAACTCGTTGAGCAACAGCCAACAGCAAGGCGTTCTTCCCCGCACCCTGCCTGGGTGTGTGTGTGGGGGGGTGGGGGGAATGCTGCGCCCTCTGGTGGCCAAGAGCCCCAGCCTTGCAAGAGGGTTTCCCGGGCTGCCGAGGCCAGGAGTCGCCGCGAGTAGGGGACTCCTCATCTGCATGAGGTAACGCCTCTGTCCCAAGGGTCAGAAGTAAAGTAATGGTCACGGTGGGTTTTTGGGTTTTTGTTTGTTTGTTTGTTTTGTTTTCTCTGTGTAGCTTTGGCACCTGTCCTGGAACTCACTTTGTAGACCAGGCTGGCCTCGAACTCACAGAGATCCGCTTGCCTCTGCCTCCTGAGCGCAGGGGTTAAAGGTGTGCGCCACCACCGCCATGCAGTGTTTTTTAACCGAGGCCCTCCCTGTATGTGTAAATGACATAAATCTGAGTGACCACCTGGGAAACTAGACATAGCTGATTGGAGACACCGCTCTGGGCTTCTGCGGAAGTGAGGAATCACCACCAGGAGAACAGGAAGGAGGCTGAGTGTGTACAGCAAGTACAAATTCTTCAGGGCACAGAGATCTCCGTGGCTGGAGGGAGGGAGGGAGGGTGAAAAGAAGTCTGGACTTAGGTTGTCAGAGTCCAGATCCACTTTACGGAAGGACAGCAGTGGTGCTGGCCGCCCCTTTGTAAGCCTGTATCTGTACAGCAGCATTGATCACCATGCGGTAGTGCCAAAGAGGGAGCGGAGGACAGGCCACAGAGAAGACAGAACCTATTGACTTGCTTTGAGTAACTTGTGATCTTCCTGCCTCAACCCCAGGAGTGCTGGGATGGTATATGCCACAATACCTAGCATGGAATCATCACAAGGGCAATGCAAATCGATTTTTATGATATTCATAGCAAATGGCTTTTCTTGTAGGATGCAAAGGATGAGCAGGAATTGAAAGAAAAAAACCAAAGCCAAAGCACACATCTTTTTTTTGTTTTTTCGAGACAGGGTTTCTCTGTGTAGTTTTGGTGCCTGTCCTGGATCTCGCTTTGTAGACCATGCTGGCTTCGAATTCACAGAGATCTGCCTGATTCTGCCTCCCGAGTGCTGGGATTAAAGGCGTGTGGTGCCGCCACTGCCGCCACCACCACCCGGCAAAATGTGTAGCCCAGGCTGGCCTTGAACTCGTGATCCTCCTGCCTCCGCCTACTGGTGTGGACTACCACAACCGGCATGCAGTGGCACACACCTTTAATCTCAACACTTAGCAAGGCAGAGCAGGAAGATCTCTAAGTTTGACTACATAGTGAGAACTTACCTTAAGGAAAACAAAACAAAACAACCTCTCCCATCCCGGAATTCATAAAGGAAGAGTAATTATGGAAGAGGGGAATGTGAGCGGAAGCTAGAACTAAGGCCACAACCTCACTGGTGACTGCATCTGCTTGGAGCTAGTGCCAAATGCCAAAGACAGACGTCTTTGTAGGTACTTGACCAGACCTTCATTTGCGGCACAACTGGAATTTTAGATAGCTGTTCAAAGTGTGAGAAACACAGCTAACAAACACAGAGAAAGGCTTCACCTGCTGTCTGTACCCTGCTCCCTTTCTTTAGAAGGTAACAGACGACGATGACGACGCCATCTATCCTATGGTGGGGAGAGAGCGAGGGTCCGTCTGTGGAGGGCTCTTTGCCTACACAGTACACCATTAGACCTGTGCTACCCGCGGAAACTCACCTAAGAACAGCATTCAGGGAGCAATGGCTCAGGAGTTAAGAGCATTTGTTCTTGCAGAGGACTCAGGTTTGATTCCCAGCACACACATGGTGTCTCACAAACATTTGTAACTCTAGTTCCACAGAATCCAATGCCCTCTTCTGACCTTGGACACCAGGCTCATGGTGTAAGCAAAACACGTTACACATAAATCTTAAAAAAAATAAAAAAGAACAAAAAAGATATTTAGGCACTGTGTGGTGGTATACACCTTAATTACAGCTCTCCAGAGGCAGAGGCAGGAGGATCTCTCTGTGAGTTTGAGGCCAGCTCTGTCCACATAGCAACTTCTAGGACAGCTGGGGCTACATAGACCCTGTCTCAAAAAACAAAAACAAAACAAAACAAAACAAAAATTGCATTTAATAGAAAATAACTACTCTAGGGCAGTTTGGACATAATATATGTGAGGTATTTTTAACAAACCTATTAAATTACTAATTGGGAAGATGGAAGTGGATTCCTTGACTTTATACATGTGTCTATGGGTACATGTTTCATTCCCACTAGGCAGGCAATCAGACCTAACTCATAAAAATTCAGTTTGCCCTTAACTGCTCCAACTGTGCTGGGTGTGGTGTGAGTGGGTCTCAATTGGCCATGGCGATAGGTGCGAGGTAGGCAAAGGCCTCAGGGCCTTTCGTAGACCTGGTCTCATACAGATGGAGGAACACCATATTCAGCCTGCATCCACATGGCCATCTTGAAAGGGGAAAACTAAGTGTAAAGGTTAATGTTGGAATCAACTAACAGATATACCTCTGGATGGGTCTGTAAAGGCATTTCCAGGAAGGATTTACTGAGGGGTGAAGACCCTCCTCCAGAATGGGCAGCACTTTCCTAGGTGATAGCCTGGACAGAAGGAGATCCAAGGGAAAAGCTTTTTGCCTGCCTGTTTTCACCTTACTGGTGAATGCATCTACTTTGTTACTGCTACTGCCGCTGACATCAGAACCTTGCTTCTTCTGCCTTCCAATATGGACTAAAGATCAGGAACTCTCTTGGGGTCTGGAGAGATGGCTCAGCAGTTAAAAGCACTGTCTACTCTTCAGTGGACCCAGGTTCAATTCCCAGCACCCACATGGCAGCTTACAACCACCTGTAACTCCAGTCCCAGGGAATTCAATGTCTTCCTCTGGTCTCCATGGCAAACATGTGGACAAAACACCCATACACATAAATAAAAATTAGTAAAAAGAAATAAAGATCAGTGGCTCTCCAGGAATCCTCTAGGCCTTCAGCACTAGATTGGAATTGCTTCATGGACTGAGCAGCAGTACTGGGTTCTCAGCTTCTCCAATGTCCAGAGAGGCAGCCACTGTTGAACTACTCAGCCCATATAATGTTCCAGGCTCATGTACCTGGGTCCTCCCAATAGAAGGAAGGGCTGGGACAGTGGAGTCCAGACTGTTCAGTAGTTACTTTACTGTCTTGTTGGGCTATCAGTCCCATTTAGGATTGCTTGGAGGACTCTAAGGATTAAGTGAAAATATGACCAATTGTTTATACTGCTCCATAATGGTGACCAAGACAGATCTTCTGTTTGAGTACATATATCCCACCCACTCCCCATTCAGACCAGCAAATCACCATCACACTAACTCTGTGTCCAAATGTTGCTTTATCTTTCTGCATGAAAGATATTCACAGTATCAAAAGTAAAGAATTAAAAAAACAAAACAAACAAAACAAAACACAAAGAGAGCAGTGTTGGGCCAGCAGTACCATCAGCCCTTGGCTCACAGGCCAGCCCAGTCCTTGGGCTCTGAGTGTGGAGGCTGCGTAGCACCAGGAAGCGGCTCTGCTGAGGTCCTGTAAGGCCCCAGCACAGCATGGCATCCATTCAGCTTTTGGTTGGTCAGGGTGGTGGGAGCAGGGAGGGTCAAGACAGGTAGAAGGGCACACGGAGAAGAAACTACATCTGCAGCTTGAGTTGGGGCCTTGAGATGACCTGGAGAAGTTGACCTGGGCAGGGCTGAGGGGGGAAAAATGGCAGAATTACAGTGAGCATCAGCTCTGTCCCCACCCCCTCCTCACCCTGGCCCCAGCTGGCCCTGCTGGCTCTGGGATGGGGATGGGTCACAGCACCCGTCTCTCCCCAGCACCCTGCTGGCTCTGGGTCCCTGTGGAGGTGGTAATAAGTTTTGTTTTTGTTTCTTGGCCTGAAAACAAGCAACAGACTTCCCGAATGAAAATTTGAAAATTTCCAGTGGAAAATGAAGCTTAAAATTGTTGAGGGACAGAGCCCCAGTCCTGAGGTTTGGGACAATCATTTGAGAAACCTGAGGGCATTCCTGCAGCACATCTGTCCAGGTCAGGGCTGAGTGAGAGCTTGGTTGCTGGTTCTCTCACTGACAGATACTGGTAGAGGCCAGTCCTGTATTCAGACTCCTAGTCAGGTTCCAAGGAAACAACCTGGACTAGGGTCCTGAGCCTGCCAGCACTGTAGGCTTCTGATCCTGTCAGAAGAGACTCAAGGACACTCACTCATGAGGGTGGGGAGGAGGGTTCCTATCTTGGAAGAGATCAGCCAAGGCAGAAGATGGATGGATTAGGTTTCCCAGAAAACCAGTAAAATTGGGCTTATGTGAGGAGGTGTGACCCTTTTTCTTTCCATAGGGGCAACAGATAAATGCCTGGGGTCTTTGTTATTCCTTGCTCTTGTGGTGGTGAAGAAAGGTAAGAGGATGCCTTAGCCTTCGAAGATGCTCTTGGGGTGTGGTTATCCTGGTGTGGTGGAGGGCCAGACTCCTCAAAGCACAGGAAGCCTGAGGTGATTCTGAAGGAAACAGCCTTCACTTGGAGGCAGCACATGCACAGCACAGGCCCTCAACTCTGCAGACTGTCCTGGCTGTAGGCCTCTGTCTGTCCTCCCCCGGGGAGTTGGTCAGGGTTCAGGAAGCTCACTGTTTCACCCCTGAGACGAATTTTTTTAAAGAGCAGAAGATCATAGAGACAGATGAGGACACTAAGAGTATACATATAGAGATGAGGCCACCTGTCCAAGCCTCCCACTGTTATTGAGGGCAGCTAAGTAGCTGTCAGACAGAAAGACCTGATCTGATACACAGCACAAGATTAATACATGGAACTGTGGGGCTGGAAAGATGGTTCAGAGGTAAAGAGCATTGGCTGCTCTTCCAAAGGAACCGTGTTTAATTCCCAACATCCACACGGTGGCTTATAACTATCTGTAACTGGGACCCAACACCCTCTCATTGACAGACACAAAGGCAAAACACCAATGCACATAAAAATAAATCACTAAAAAAAGAAGACATGGAACTGAATAGCCTTGGGCCCCAATACTATGTACAAGCTGCCTATCTCTTCTTCAGTCAAGCTCCTAGCCTGGAGGCTTTCTCTAATTTTGGGCACCCAGCCCCAGAACATTATCTAATATGTCAACAGTTCAGATAAAAGGATTTGTGCAGGTGGCTGGAGGGAGGCCAGAGCTGCTTGTGGGCCAGTTTCTTCCCAAAAGGCAGCTTACCTACTAGTTCCTCAGGGAACTTGCCCTACTGGGGAAGAACCCTCACTAACACCTCCATGATTATCAATGACCTAGGAGGTCTTGCTCTAGCTCACTTGCCCCTCCCTGTTCCCCAGGGGCTGCTCTCTTACACTGCTTAAGGTGGATGGCATTCAGACAGTCTGCACTGAGGAAGCAAATGGGACTGAAGCCCAATGCCCAAGCATGTGCAGCTCCATGAAGTCTACCGCTGTCTGGAGGCTTCGGGAGGGAGGTTGAAGGAGGCCCAGCCATGACACCCTAAGAGGCAGACCTTCAGGAGAAGCAGCAGCAAGATTCAGGGAGGGCCTAACCAGGGAGATGTGATGGAAGAGCAGAGGCCTTGGGTGAGCAGACACACAGAAGAGGACAGGGTGCAGATCATCATCAGTTGCACCTGGACAGATGGTTGCTACAGAGATGAAGAAAGCAGGGACGGCAAGCCCTGAGCCCTACTCTGCAGACCCAGAATCCAGATGGTTTAGAGGGGCACAGAAAGTGGCAGGGCTTGGGAGGAGTGGGGTGCAAGTACCAGTTGAGGTCTCCACCTCACTGAGCTGTGCTAGGAGTGGTTTTCTTGAGGCTGAAGTTGGTCCAGTTCACAGCAACTTTCTGACGAGTTTGCTTTGCAGAATCCAAACAGAACCTATATTGGGTTTAGGAAATATGGGTAAAACACAGTAATAGGTTCTCCCCTGTCCTCACTGGACCCCGCCTCTAGACAAAACCTGTCTCATTCACAGAAATGAACTGGAACCCAGAGGGGTGGTGTACACCGTAATCCCAGCACTCAGGACTGCTGTGAATTTGAGGCCTGGGCTACAGCAAGACTCTTTAAAAAAACAAAAAGAAAGAAACAAGTTGGCTCTAAGTAGGCACTGTGGCTTCCAGGTGTTTGACAGGCATGAGAACTGCCCATGAGGCCAGGGGACAATGCAAGACACCTGCTGTGAGACACAAACTGTCATCTTCTCTGCCTTAGCCTTGCTCTGCTGAGCTGGCTTTTACCCTCAGACTTCTGTAAACACTGCCCCACTGTTACCACTTTACCTGGTGAGCTCAGCTCAGTCTCACCCACCTTTCCCAGAAAGGCCTCCTCCACTAACCTCCAGGTTGGTGTGATGGCCACCAGCATGCTTTTATGTCTCTACCAGCATGGGTCAGTGGGCTGTGTATTTCTGAACCTCTCCCTGTCTAGACTGTTCCTAGATCTTGACCCACTAGAAAAGAAGTACAAATAAAACCTAAGCCCTTGGGAATCAGAGAAAGGGATCTCTGTGAGTTTGAGGCCAGCCTAGTTTACATAATGAGTTAGTTCTAAGACAGCCAGGGCTACACTGAAACCCTGTCTAAAATGAGTAAGAAATACAAATGTATAAAGCTGGAAGAAGCCCTAGTTTTTCTGTCCCAACATGGCTCCTTCTCCGTATGCCTTGCACCTCAGATGCTCTGTCTTGCCAAGCGGCTCCATGGGTTCAGGCTACATAGGGGGCCTGGAAGGGTGGTGAGGACCCCACAGACTTTCTCAGGCCTGAAACACAACATGGGACTTGGGCATGGACATAATCTCCCCTCAGTCAGGGGAAAAGCAGGCAGTACACACCTACCTCTTGAAGTACTCCACTTCTCGGTCTGTCTCATCCATCTCCACCCCATCCATGTCCTTGGGCAGGAACACATCGTCTAGGAAGACACAGCCAGGAGGGCTCAGTGCCCATGGCCAGGCCTCTGGGGTCATGCTGGGAGCAGTGCTGCCCATACACGGGGACTGCCCTCCACCCCGTGGCTTGGTTGGGGTGGGGGTTCTGCCACTTGGTTCCTGGTGCACTCACCCAAGGAGGAGGCTGCCTTCTCTTGTTTGCGGCTCCGGCGGCTGCGGCCCTTGCCCTGGGACAAGCTCTGTGGCCTTGCTAGGCCTGGGGTCTGCACAGATTCCTGCTCCAGAGTCCGAGCCTTGGCCTCACCCGGCCAATTCTGCCAGGAACTACCCTTCTTGTCAGTTTTGGGGTTGTCAGCCCAGCTTGGTCCTGGCCGGCTCCCCCGGCTGTCCTCTCCAGGTTCTGCACAGTTACCCACTTTGGCAGGATCTGGGCCCTTGCCTGGCTGCTTGGGGCTAGATATCTGGCTCTTGGCACTGGGAGCTTCTAGGTTGGCTGGAGGCCAGGGGCCTGGACCCGCCTCACTCTTCTTTGCTTGACTTCCCTGTCTCTTGCTCTTTCTTGGCTTCCCACCTGTGGCCACAGGCTCAGACAGCTCCTGTTTCTTACTGGGGACCTCCTTTGAACTTTCCTCAGAGCTAGGGTTGCCTGGCTTGGGCGTCTTGACCCAGATCACCCGGGACAGGTTGGGCACAGTGTTGAGTCTTCTCACGAGCCCATTCTCAGGGATACCAGGAGGGGGGCCCCTCACCTCTGTCCATGGTGGGTGAGGGTCTCTTCCTTCTGCCCATGGTGCAACTGACTCACTTGGAGCTTGTAATGTGTGGCTGTGAAGGGAGCCCAAAGTCAAAGGGGACAGGTCAAGATTGATATCAGGCTGTTGCTCAGAGGAGCCGTTGAGGTCTGAAGGGGTTAGAGTCTGGGGCTGAGGTTCCACAGCCCCCTCCTTAAAGCCACTGCTATCCACGTTGAGCTCACACATGCTGAAACTGGCACAGAGGGAGTCTTTGACGGTACTCTTGATCTCCTGCAAGCGGCTGCTCAAGAAGCTATTGACTCGGTCCAGCTCCTGGTCAGGCCAATCTAGGAGCTTCTCCCTGGCAGGCCTTAGCTCCTGGCTTCCAGAAACACGATTCACCTGCTTCAGAGCTTCTGTTGCCAACCGGGCCTTCTCTTTTTCCTGCCAATAGAAGAGGCAGTTTCAGCAGAGGTCTGCCAGTGACCAGGTACAATATGACACCTGACACATCAGCCTGGGACCTAGCTTTGCCACTCACTTGCTGAAGGCAGAGACTGGTGATCTCCACATGGTCCTCAACCCTGCAGGAATGACGGGACAATGAAACCCAATGAAACCCAAGACAATATCAAGTCTTGGGGTACAAGTACAAATAAGCTCCTGAGGGTAGGGTTTTGACAGTTTACCCATCAAGAGCCTGTGTCAGTTCTGGGTCTAAGAATGCTAGGATCTGCTTTCTAGGCATGAGTTGGCATGGGGAGCTTGAGTAATTCACCCACTCCCCAGTTAGGCACCAGTGGACTCATCTGCAAAGTAGACAATAACTCTAGAGTAAAGAACAAAGTGGGAACCGGGCCGTGGTGGCGCATGCCTTTAATCCCAGCACTCGAGAGGCAGAGGCAGGTGGATCTCGGTGAGTTCAAGGCCAGCCTGGGCTACCAAGTGAGTTCCAGGAAAGGCACAAAGCTACACAGAGAAACCCGGTCTTGAAAAACCAAAAAAAGAAGGAGAAGAAGAAAAAAAAAAAGAACAAAGGTCTCTCACTGTTCAGCCAGCTCCATATATCCAAGCCCACATCTAAAGTGTCCTATAGCATACCATGATCAGTGACAGAGCCCACACAACAAGATGCAAAAGCAGCCCGAGCCCAGGTGAAGACTAGGAGGTCCCAAGAAGTTGGGTCCTGTAAATCACCTTTGGCAGACTTGAGTCAGGACAATGGAAACCAGTCTGTGGCTGAGCTATCCACATTTGTCTGCCTAGAGGCAAGGTACTAGAGGCTAATGAGGCCTTTACAGGGACCTAGGAGTCAGATGGGAAGGATATGGCAGAGCACCACCTCACGTATTTCCAGCTGACTTGCAAACTGAGGGGGAGACAGGAAAATGAACCTGGGGAGAGAAGACTTGCCATCACCTCAGAATTCGCACAAACACAGTGGGCAGGCATGTATTCTCATCTCTTCTGAACAGTGACTACATACCTAAGCACAGCCTTCCTTAGAGTTCCTTGGACAAATCACTTCCTCTCTTTGAACTTCCAAGTTTGTAATTTAGGGAGAAAAAGTTGCTCTGAGGACAGCTGTAAGGGTTGGTGCCAAGTCTCCTTCCCCATGTGCCAGCACTCTGCCTACTCAGGTGAGCAGCAATGTGGCCTGGAGCAGTGTTTGCAGGTGAACTGGAGACCGTAGGGTGGTCTCTCCTGTATCCCTGAGTCAGCACAGTCTGGCTTCTGGTTGTTATGGGTAAGTTTTTAAGTTTTTACTCACTCACAGAAATGTTTGCTATGTGTCCAGAACCCCCGAAAAGCGCTGGTATGGACAGCACCTCCCCATTACCAACACTGGAAAGGAGAAAGCACACAAGGCGCAGCGGCTCCTCCCAAACCTGGCCCCGTGCAGCAGGTCACGTTTTAACCCTCACCACTGCCCTTGCTGCTGCAGTGTAATGCCTAGTTCACCGTGATGAACTTCAACTTTGGCAGAATGCGAAACTGGCTCACGGTAGGTGGCTAGTAAGTGGCCAAATCAGGGCAAGGCACAGAAGCCCCAGACCTCTCGGTTCCATCTGCTCACCGACTGTGAGGCAGTGGCTAAGCTTTGGGAGTGAAGCTGGACACAAGACACAGTCTCTGTTTCCCAGCTTCAGTCAGCCAAGGAGGAGAGATACATATAAATGGACTGCTTAATTCAGTGATAGTGTCAAATGCTACAGGGCAGAAAGTCCAAGGTGCTTTTAACCCAGCCTGGGTTGTCTGAGAGCGTTCCTAGAGGGGCACTGAAGGGTGAGTGGAATTATCCTGGAAAAAATGAGATGAGCACATTCTAGGTTGAAGGAACAAGTGTAAAATATAGGGAAAATGAAAAATCACATCATTAGGAAGCAAAAATTATGCAGAGGTACAGCTAGAGCCTCAAGTTTTGTTTTGCGTTTGCCAGGGGAGGTGTGGTGTCTAGAGATCTTAGGAGGCAGGAAGGTAGGCTAAAAAGTAAGAGGCTGAAAGATGGAGCTAGTATGCTAAGCAGCAGCTGGATCCTGAGGAGCTCTGCAGAAGTCTGGGTTTGAGCCTGAGGCAATCAGTGCTTACCAACTGAAGGCTTGAAAAACAGATGTTGTGGGTAGAGAAAAGTGGACTGGTTTGAGTTGGGGGTATGGGGTTATAATGGATAGGGATTTTTGGGGTTAGTCAAGAAGGTAAAATGACACATGTCCAGAAAACATTACCAACTACTACAGCTGCCACAGTGGCCCCCATGAACCGAGCACTCAGGGGCCAGGCATTCTGCCCAACGCTCCATACATCATTTCATTTCATCCTCACAACAATCTATGGCTTAGGTTCCTGTTATTCTCATTTTATAGATAGAAAAATTGAGGCTGAGAGATTAAGTGATTTGCCCAAGGTCATACAGCAAGTGTGATCAAGCTGAGCTTCAAACTGAAGTCAATTCCAAGGCTCACTCACTGCTTTTAGTCACAGTGCACTTTCCCATGACAGTGCCTAGGGCTGAGGTCAAGCGACAGAGTGAAGTGGTCCCCTTTACTAAACAGGTGATAGAGAAGGCAGGCCTCTTTCATGATATACTGAGTGTGAGGTACCTGCAGGATGTCCCCAAAGAGAACCAATAGTTAGCAGAGATACCAATGCCAAGGTAGTGTTGACTACCTAGATGGCTTTTCTTTCCAGAGAGGTGCTCTACGAAGTCTAGGTGAGGGACAAGAACTCAAAAAGGAGAAAGAGGTCAGAGAGGCAGGTGAGAAATATGGAGAAGATGGTGACTCCACTGCCCCTTCCTAGGCCCTGCTTGCCTGAAAGCCAGGGAGCCAAAGACAAGGTTTAAAGGGGTGCACAAACAAAATGTCAAAGGTTGCTTAGTGGACAACTCTGACAGGCACATAACCAAGACATACGCTGGATTTGGCAATAAACTGGTGCCTGAAGGGTGTGGACAGCAGTCTTTGGTGAGGTGATGAGTGGGAAGTGAGAACAACGGACATGGATGTAAGGCTGTCAAAAATTACAGCTATGATGAAGGCAGCAAACAGGGAGAGCAGGAAAGGCTCCAGCTTCCGGGAACTGTCTGCCTCTGAAATTCAACAGTGGGCACAAAGACATGTGATGGGAGCTAGGCCAGAGGAAAGACTGCAGATTTCTTTGCTAGAGTATGGGTTTGAGCCTCAGACAATGTTTACCAATCAAAGGCTTTGAAAATAGAGCAAGCAGCCTAAGCTGGGGAAGCAAAAAAGGACTACAGGGGCTGGGGTGGGAGAAGGACAGCCCTTCCTTTAGATGAGGAGCTATGTCCAGTGGCTTTTTCCTTGATGAAAACAGAAGTGAAGTTCTTTGCTAAAAAACAAGGGAGGGCAGTTGAGAGCCTGGAGGCTGGAGAATCAGAGGTCTGACGAAAGGGCCATGTGAATGGGCATGACAGACGAGGAATAAAAGGATAGGGAGCGGCCAGCCAGGCAACACAAGAGCTAAGCAAGTGGGAAAGCACCTAGCTGAGTGTCACATAACCGTCACAAGCTACCCTCTGGGTGTAGCGGGGAAAGAAGGGTGGGGTGGGAGGCGATTTTCTGAGCAGGTGTGACAGAGGGAGTGAAGAGAGTAAGGAGTGAGAAGGGTGTCGGTCACTTCCTCCTTATCACTACTTCTCAGCTCAAGTGAGCGAGTGCTAGACTGGCCTGGGGAGAAGACAGAGGGTCAGATGGCAACATCAAGAGGACAGAGGAGACTGGCTGAGGCTGCAGACGGCTTAGGAAGGGGTGCAGCGTCAAAGGAGCAGGGACCAGTGCCTAAAGGCAAGAAAAAGGAAGTGGGGTGAGGGAATGGGAAGGCCCTGCTTTACCCATCTAAGGTGGTAGAGAGTAAGCAGTCATCACTCCATGCCTACCAGGGAAGCTGAACCTCAGAGGGGAGGCTGATCTAATACCGAGACCACCTATGTATTGTTTGTCCTAGTCTACAAGGCTGGGTCTAGTCGACAGTGAGCTGGAGAGCAGAAGGGTGTGATGAATGGCAGCCTAGAGCTATGCAAGGGGAAGGGGAAGTACAGCAGGAGACTTCCCTGAGGGTGTCTGCAAAGGAGGAAACATCTCAAGTGTTTCACCTGGAGTGACAGGCCTTCAGGAAAGGTCCATGGGTTTATAAAAAGCACACCAGACCTGGGAACTACTGAGCAAGCCCTCTGGGGACGGCTTGAAGAGGCCAGAGACCACTGTAACCTACTGAACACCTCAGGAGAGCAACTTTGGGTGGGAGCAAAGGAAGGTTGACCGTTCTCTGAAGGTAACAGCAGGACCTTTCGGCTCACTACTTCAGGCTGCAGAAGGATCTTGGTTGTCCTTGGGCTGGAAAGATGGAGAATCACTTCTGCCTTCTAGAGCTCTAGGGTTGTTTGACCACCCAAGAAATGGAACTGGCTGGCTATCAAACCAAATCTCTTCAGATGGTGGCTCCTGTGTATGGCACCGTGCAAGACGCAGCTGGAGGCAGGCAGGCGAAGTTAGGAAGCCGCAGGTGGCAAGCCATCCAGCTCAGGGCTCATCTAGCAGCAGGGCTGTCCAGGAACAGCACCGAGGACTGGTTCGTTCCCATGGCTTCAGTTACATCTCTGCCCTGACAACTCTAGTCTCACACCTGCACTTGCACTTGACTGTCTCACGGGAACCTGAGTCAGTGAGCCCAACTGCATCCAGTCTTCCTTCTCAAACTGCCATGTTGGCTCCGGCACAAGCACCATCAGCATACTGGGAGACACCCGACTGTGTCGTCACCCTCTCATCAGAATACCCAAGCCTGTCACTTCTGCTGCCCTCAGATCTCTCCAGTCCCACTCTCAGTCACCTCCCCCTTGGTCTCGTACTTCCCTGCCCTCATCTTCCCACATGCTTTCTGTACCACCACCGCACTGCAATCAAAATAGAGCCTTGACAAGTGCACTAGCTGACGTCACCCACCCGCTGACAGGCTCTCACCTGCAGGCTGGTCAGAGCTGATCTTCAGCAGGCTCTGAGACTGTCTTCTACCTCCACTACCTGCCCACCTGTCTGCCACTTCCAGCTGTGGCTTGACCACACTGCCTGGGAGATGTGCTGTGCCTGCTGCCAGAAGGGACCCCTGATGAATCTGTCCTCACTCCCCAGGACTCAGATGGTGAGTCAACCTCTAGTAAAGCCACTTCTGGGCGAGAATGGGCACTTCCCTCCCTCTGGTACTTGTCCGGTTTTGTGTTAGTCTCCTCACTAGACTAAGCTTCTCTCTGGTGGGAACTTAACTGTTACATTTTGGCTCCCAGTATTTGTGGAAGTACTTGCTGAATGAATAAATGACCAACTGTAGCAAGTCCTCAGCTTGGAGGACTTGAGCAAGCAGCTTGCACCTAAGACATTTCCTTCTCCAAATACTTGCCCCCAGGTTCTCCCTGACCTTGATGCCTCCCAGATTCATCCAGACCTTCCCATAGCAGTTGAGCCATACCAACGTTTTTTTGGCAGCCAGCACTGATCGCGCCCCAGAGGTCTTAGGGCTTGGGGTGAGGGACTCCTGGGGAGGAGAGGCAGGAGAGTTGTGCTCCCCCCACACCCACCTTCTTTTTCAGCTTGTGCCGGGCCCGCTTGGCGGCCCTGGCGCTGTTGGGGACTTTGGGCTCCGTGCTGTTGATGAATTGCAGCAGCTCATCCACATCTCGGTGGTCCACCGCTGGCTCCCCAGGGATCCCGCCCAGGGTGCCCCCCTTCATGGGCAGCTCCTCTTTCCGCCTGGTCAGCCTCGAGCGGAGCTTCTCCCGGATCTCAGTATAATTCCGACTCGTCGGGGCAGCGGGTGGCTGGGGGAGGGGAGGTGCTGACATTACACCCTAGGCCTGGGAGGCCCATAGCACTCCCACCCGCTGGCACCATGTATGTGGTGAGAAGCCAGACGATTATTCTCTCTAGCATCAGCCACCAAGGCCAAATGACTTCATCCTCAGTAGGCTCTGAGCTGAAGCAGTGGTCGGTGTGAAGACGGCTCGGTGACCAAGGACTGGGGAGCCAGGGAAGCAGATTTGAGCCCGGGCTTCATCACTTGGAAGCTGTATGACCTTGGGTGAGCCACTGAGTCTTTGTGAACCTCAATTTTGTCACCTCTAAAATGAAGATAACAATTCCTAGCTCAAAGGTGACTAGTAATTCTGAATTATTTCCACGTCTCCTATCCTCAACTGCTCTGCCCTAGCCAGCAGCCTCTTCCTCCTCTCCTTCCGAGACTTCTGAATCGCTCCCGTCTAGGGACAGCATGTACCCTGATCTGAGCCTCGTTCTTGGTGCCTTTTGTGCTCATGGCCTGGACCTCAGCTGGCTGCCACACTTGGGGAACTTTCTGCTCCCCCACTGCCTTCATCTTGCACAAGCATTCACTTCTCTGGGATTACACACATATATATATATACTCATCCGAATCATACATAGCTTTCTCTCTGCTACTTCCTTTTCTTTTGCCTAAAGAAAAAAAGTCAATCTTAAGAGAAACCACCAGAACACAGCCAACAAAATGTTAAGAAAACCCAGTCTCACAAATGTGCCTTGAGGTTGAAGCAAGCAGATGTGGGTGCAAGGACTCTCAGTCCCAGTGTGGCAATCACTGCCGTGAGCAAAGGGTCTCCTCTGCCCCCTGGCTGCCCAGCCCTCTCTGCCCAGGCAGGCTCACTCACCGCATTGTGGCCGAAGAACTCACAGTAGCAGCAGTCACAGAACTTCCCATCGCGTGGGTGGGTGGAGGACGAGGTGCAAGAGCTGCGCTCAGAGCTGCTATCCTCTTCCTCGCCCAGACCCTCATCTGCCTCACAGGCCAGGCCACTGTGTGCAAATTTGTGCCCTTTGCACCCAGGGTCCCTGCTGCAACGGAGAAGGGCCCAGAGGTGAGAGTAAGTGGTGCAGGCACAGAATACAGCAGGAGCCAGAAAAGTGTCCCGATCCCCAGTCACCATTCCAACTGCCTTTCACCTGCCACACCAGTGCCTCTGGTAAAGAGCAGAGCCTGATAAGTGTCTCCACTGCCTCATAGGCCATCACAAATGCTAAGTCTGACTGTGGAAGTTTCCTGCATATACCTCTTTGAGGGCACTGTGTGGGTACCTCTCTAGCTTGCTGTTTTATCAAGCCTTGCAATAATGGGCTGTTCATCATTTTCTTTAGACTAGGTAAATAGACAGTGTGTACTTCAATTCTGGAGGAGTCCCATGACACAGCACGGCAACCTTGCACAGCAAGTGCTTGGCAAGCAGGAATCTGAACTTGTGGGTTGATGGCTCCTTTGGTACAGCCCCAAATGATCAATGAAAACTTTCTACTTTCCCAGGGTTCTCACAACACATCTGTCTGGCATCTGTATCATCAGGTAGAGCTTCCTTAATCAAGAGCTCTGTGATGAGAAAAAGCAGATTTGTCTCCTGGGAGCTAGAAACTACAAGAGCTACTGCCTGGACCCAGAAACGTCCGCAGCATGTTACCTAGCCATCCTTGAAGTCCTAAAAAAATTAGCACCACTATCCCCTTTTAACAGTTGCAGAGACTGAGGCTCAGGGCACAGTCCAACAGATAGTAAACACAAACCTGTGCTTCCCTGTGTACAGAGTTCATGCTTTCTCCAATTACTTTCTGCCTCCAGACTCTGGCAATAAGTTGGAGCAACTTATATTATATACAATTTCTTCGTAAGGTAAAGATGAAACCGGCCGAGAGGTCCCAGAATCAGAGCTGGGAAGAACCAGAGCCCTATGATGGGTCAGCAACAGCTGGAATACTGCAGAAGCTGGACCCATGTTTCAGAGGAAATAAGAGTAAGGTGACAGTCTAGGACAGGCCAGTGTAGCCCATGTCTGTGTTGGAAAGGTCAGCAAACACATGGTAGGGTTTAGAAAAGGCAGCAGAAGCTGGGATCAATGGTGCCTACACTTTATTCCAAGCTCACATTTCTTCTATTACATTAAGCAAAATTCCTTTTAGGAAAATTAAAATATTCAGTTTCTGAAGATACATACAGAGCACTACTCTTTATTGGTGGCTACATGGATCCAGAGAACCCTGTAAAAAGCAGTTCCCCCACCTATTCTCAGGGCCTTCTGCATCTACCACAGAGGGGGACCCCCAGCACTCATATGCACTTGGGTGCTCTCCCCTCTCCCTGCCTTCACTCACACTTCACAGTAGGTCTTTCTACAAAGTTGAGGCTGGCCTTGAACTCTAGATCCTCCTGCCTCCGCTTCCCAATTGCTACGATTATAGGTGTGCAGCACTGTGCGTGGGAGAAAGCAGTTTGCCAATGTGTGTTAAGAACTCTCCCAAGAAACAGTGATGAAAAAGTCTAATAGAGGAAAAAGCTTTAAGCCAAGACATCTTTAGATGTTGGTTATAATGTTAAAATGATAATGTTCTGCAACTGGAGACCAGCAAAATGAACTATAGTTAATATTCTCCAGCCCCAAATACTGAACATTAGGAACAGAACACAGGAACACACTACTACTACTACGTGAAAACTGCAAGATTCAAGTGTGTACTGACATCATCAGCACCATGTGAAAGACATGTGAGTTGACAAGTCCAGAGTGGTGGCTGCAGGGCAGTGAGATCTCAGACTGTGGAAGACAGATAAATAGCCAGGGTCAACCTAGAAAACATCTGCCTTCAATACATTCACATTCAAATAAAGTCAACAGAACCACAGAGCTTCCTTTGGGGCTACAAAGGGCCCAGATCTATTCAAACCACAGACTTAGGATGCTTATCACAACAGTATTTTTCTTAGTTAAAATCTGAAAATGAAAGCCAGGCAATAGTGGTGCATACCTTTAATCCTTGCACTCAGGAGCAGAGGCAGGAGGATCTCTATGAGTTTGAGGCCTGCCTGGTCTACAGAATGAATTCCAGGACAGCCAGGGCTACATAGAGAAACCCTGTCTGGGGAGGAAAAGTTTGGAAATGAGCCAAGCATGGTGGCACACACCTTTAATCCCAGCACTCAGGAGGCAGAGACAGGTGGATTTCTGAGTTTGAGTCTAGCCTGGTCTACAGAACAATTTCGGGACAGCTAGGAGTAGAGAGACTCTTGTCTTGAAAAACTAAAACAATAACATGGCTAGTTAAGTTTTAAAAGGAGTTTTAATTAGGGAAATGCTCATGATATTTAAAAAGTGTTGCTATGCAGGCCAGAGATAGCAAGAAACACCTGTGATCCCAGTAGTAGAAGGCTAAAGCAGGAGACTCACAAGCTACAGGCTAGCTTGGGCTACATAGCAAGAACCTGTCTCAAAATGAAGAAAATAAAAAAATGCTACATAAAATATTTATCAAATATAGACCAAATTATGTCATTTATATACAGAAGTATCTTCAAGAAAATAGGCCACAGTTCTAGAAGTTTCTCTTTAGGTTGTAAAGACCCTTTTCTTTTTACATATGAATTGTTCTAAGCTTAAAAAAATTATAATGAAAAAACCCTTAATTTAGAATGTATTTATTTTGGTGCTGAGTGTGAACACAGGACCTCATGCACGCTAAGACTGTGGTCTAGCATTGAGCTAGTACTTCCAGCCCAATCCACACTTTGATTTCCATCCTAAAAGTGTTCTTGGCAAGTCTTCCATAACTCTAGGCTCCAGTGAGCAGGGAGTGGTGCCTTTCACGCCACTCACTTACCTGTGAGTGCTAGGGAGTGGCTGAGAGCTCGGTGGTGGGAGGAGAGGCCCACCGCAGTGCCCACCGCAGTGCCCGCTGCAGGGGTGGCTGCACCCAGAGAATGGTGGAGGCATCTTCAGGAGTGGCATGCTGGTGGAGGGCAGATGGGGGCTCTGACAAGGCCCTGGGGGGTGGGTGGCAGTGGCAGCAGCCACAGGGCACTCTGAAGCCTGGGCAGGGAAAGGTGCTGCCGGGGTGGTGGGCAGCAGGTGTGGGTGGGACGGTGAGCTGAAGGAGCCAGGGTGAGAAGGAATCAGAGATGCTGGATGTGGGGGGTGGCCGGTGGGGCTGTTAGGGGGAGCAGTGAGGTCTGAGTGCTGGTGGTGCTCCGAGACAGGGAAAGCCTCACCTGTAGGTGGAGGGGAGAAAAAGGGGTCAGACCTGGGAAGGAAAGCCCGCAGGCTCACTGCCGCATCATCCTGTTTAATGTGGCCAGAGGGCACAGCCTCTCAGCACAAGGCCCCTGAAAAGGATATGGATAGCAGGTCTGCTGGACAGGTTTGAGTATCCCAAGCCCGAGGAGGCTGTGGCTCTGCTTTGGTGTGAACAGAAGATATTTCTGCCATTTCTCTGGGTCCCTCTAGGAGCTACTTATTCTTGGGCATTCCTTAGGCCTGAGAAAGGAAGCTATAGCAACCTTGGGATCTGCCTCTGGGCCACATGGACCAGAGCAGCCAAGGTATGACTGACTCCTGGGAGGTGACAGATCTCTGACTAACGTAGGAAAAAGCTCTGATGACTCTCTTCAGCATGGACCAAGATAACTGGAATTATGCATTTAATTCACATAATTTTAGAACAGTACCATTTTGAAGAACTCCATCCTCCATTTAGAATTATGACAGTACCATTCCAAAGGCTTTCCCCTCTGGGTCTCTGAGCGTTAGTATTGTTTAAGTGGCCTGCCTGCCACCTGCTAGTCTCCTGTGGTTAAGTACAGTGCTGTACAGCTATCCCTAAGGTAGACAAACAAAGTCCAGTGAGGCCAAGGAAGCAGAGTAGCTCAGTTTGTCAATGGTATAGATAGCAGGTGTGCATGATCTAAGTCTCACTTCCCTATGGGCTTTCCCAGGCCACTCGTTCCTCAGACAGTATGAGGACCTCTCCTAGACCCAATGTTAAGCCAATAACAGCTATGAGGGCATTCTTTTTTTTCTCTCTGGGCAGTGTAACTTCAGAGTCTTGCAGAAGGTCTTCCAGAGACAAAGTCTAGGTTGTCTCTACTGCCATCAGAACAGGTCTACATTTACTTTTTTTTTTTTTTTTGATACAGGGTTTCTCTGTGTAGCTTTGCGCCTTTCCTGGAACTCACTTGGTAGCCCAGGCTGGCCTCGAACTCACAGAGATCCGCCTGCCTCTGCCTCCCGAGTGCTGGGATTAAAGGCGTCCGCCACCACCTCCCGGCTACATTTACTTATTTTAATAACCAAGTTTCTCATTGACTGGGCCAAAACAGAAAGGCAAACAGCTGTCTACCTAAAGGGGCCCAGTACTTTCCGGAAGCAGCTTAAAGACTCACCAGGGATGGCAGGAGGGCTCCCAAGCGAGCCGCCTGGCACAGCCCCGCTGGAGTGTGGGGAATTCCAGAGGCCTGAGAGCTTATGTGCTGACAGGAACGAGCTGGGATCCCAGTCCCCTGAGTTCCCATGGCAGGAAGAGGAGGAGGAAGATGAGGATGATGAAGAAGAGGACGAGGATGAATGAGAGTCACCCCCACAAGACTGGGATTTGCAGGATGTGTGTGACAAGGAGATCTGGAAAGGAGAAAGAAAAAGGCTCATGGTCAAACAGTGGGGCTGCCCTGTCCTTCAGGCCCTTAGTAACGTTATGACTGAAGCCAATAAGCACAAGTCACGGTGAACTATAATCAAGGGCCAATGAAGTACTTGGAAGGGACTCTAGTGTTCCCAGTTCCGTGGCTGTGCGGATAACGGGCAGAGAGCTTCTAGGGCAGAGCCTGTCTATGAACATGGGCCATTTGTGTGTGTGAAGAGCCGCCAACAAGATGAAAAGTCTTTGAATCAGAAGTGCAGTTTAGCACTCATGCTCCCCCTTCCCTTCCCCTTTCTCCTTCCTTTCTTCCATGTATTTTTAAAACTTTTGAGGCTTTATGTGTATGAGTGTTTGCCTGAATGTGTATCTGTGCACCATGTGCACACAGAGGCCGGAAGAAGGCAACTGATCCCTAGGACTGGAATTACCGCAGGTTATGAGCCACCATGCAGGTGCTGGGAATCAACCCCAGTGCCGTGAAAGGGCAGCTAGTGCTCTTAACCAGTGAGCTATCTCTGTAGCCCCAGCCTTTCATTATTTTTTTACTTTTATTTCTTTGGGTTTTTGAGACAAAGTCTAGTTCTCTATGTATCCCTGGCTGTCTTGGAACTCACTCTGTAGGAAAGACTGGCTTCAAACTTACAGGGATCCGCCTGCCTCTGCCTTCCAGGCACTGGGACTAAAGGCGTGCGCCACCACACCCAGCCCTTCCTTCTGTTTATTAGGAATATCTGTATATGTGTATGATATGTATACATGCATGTGTAAGTGAAGGTGCACATGTGCCATAGTGTACAAGTGGAGACAACCTTGGATGTAGGTCCTCCCCTTCCACCTGGTTTCCTACAGGGTCTCCTTGTTGGTTTGCCATTGTGTAAGCAATGCTAGCTGGCCCACCAACTTCCAGGGGCTGTCCTGTCTCCACCTCCCACTTTACTGCAGGAGCATGGGGGTTACAGATATGTACTATCACATGTGGCTTCCTGTGGGTTCTGAGGACTAGAATCAGGTCCTCAAGCTTGTGAGGCAGGTGCTTTGGAGCTTTTTCCCACCAAGTCATCTCCCTGGCCCTCCTTTCTTTTTATTTTTCTTCCCAGCACACACAAGACAAACATTCTACCACCGAGCTACATTTCGAGCCCCAAGTGACAAGTCTTGAAAATGAACTGATTCTGGGTAAATGCAAGTCTCCAGGGGAAAGAGAAGTGAAGTCTGGCTGACATGCCTCACAGACAGCAGTCTTCCACGGCTCCCAGCTATTACTGTTGTCTTCTGACTGAAGTACATCTCAGACCCTCTGACTCATCTGTGTCATAGTGGTGGCCTTTCGAACAGCCGTAGGCTGAAGGCATCAGGGTCAGGTGACAGGACAGGATCAGGATCTACCTCCGTCCACTAGCAGGCCCATGTCTTCTTCCTTCAGATCTAAACCCAACTTGCAGACACTAAGTGCAGCCGGATGGTTTCTCAGAGCAGCCTGGGCAGAGCTTCCTGAGGCCAGGGGAAACAGCCTGACTCCCTTAGGGAGGAAGCAGTCCTGCTTTCAGAGGTCACCTGTCAGCTGTTACCTACCGCCACTGCATGTTCTCGACCTGTCTGCCTCTCATCTTCCTCCATGCTCTTTCGGCAACTCTGGCAGACCCATAGAGGCATCTCGCCTAGGAGATTCTTGACGAGCTTTGGCATGAAGTCAGGGGGCAGCTTCTCACCCTGCAACACCAGTCCATTTTGTGAAGGGCCTTCTTCCCAGCCTTTGCGCTCGCGGTGACACAGCAGGCAACAAGTCTGCACAGACTGGCTGGAGGTGGGGGGAACCTGTCCAACACACAGACACAGGGGTTCCCAGGAGGGGGAAAGGCTGTCCTTAGAAATGATGCTAACAGTATTCATAACACCATTCATTACGTGCCAGGCACTGGGATAGGCACTTTATCAACATAATTTAGCTTTAGTCCTTGTGACAGCTCTGCAAACAAGGTGTTCTTATTCCCATTTTTTAAGATGAAGAAACAGATTTCAAGAAGTTAAATGAGTTGCCCAAGGTTACAGAGCTAGTGAACGGTTGAATCCCAGTAAATCTGACTCCAAAACTCATGCTCAGCTGTCCTCAACATCAAAGAACAGAGAAGAGGTTTCTCCCTCTCTGGAATGCCTAGGAAGGGCCACAGTTCTATGCAGGCTACAGATCAGTCCCACCTGAAAGGAAAATGGATGTGCTTTTTCTGGAGAGACGAACAATTTCTTTAGTACTGCAGCAGGAGTTTAGAACGACAGACCCTGGTGCCCTTTTGAGTAAGGATGGTGAAAAAAACCTAGACTCTGGGGCCAGACAGACAAGCACTCTCACCTCAGCCTCAGCATGAATCAGCCGACGATGACCTTGAGCAAGTTATTTAACTCCTCTGAGCTCTGCTTCCTACCCACCTTGCAGAGCTGTGCAGAATGCTGCATGCCATAGCTCAGGCCCAGATCAGGACTTGGCCTGTTTCTTCCCCTTACAACAGATCGGATCCAGTCATTTAAGTTTTAAATTTTCCTTTCACAGTGGGGTCCTAACTGGGAATCTAATTATATTTATAGCCCAGTTAGCGGTTTTCCTCTATTTTTCAACTCTAGTCTTTTTCCACTGACCCTGCACATGGCCCTGTCACTTCCTTTGGGCCAACAGGATGGTGTTAACAGACATGCTGGCAGCAGCAATCTGAACAGTGTGTATGCACTTCTCCTGGTATCCTTGCATGGATAGCCTGCCAAGACGTTGTGGCTCTGCCATTCCTGCCCATCTGTGGGACTTGAAGAAAATGAGTGTTCTTAACTAGTCAGTCAGCTGATGGATCTATGAGTGAGCACAGGTGAAATCCCACCAAGCAGTAGATTCAGTAGGAATAGGAAGTGGTAGTGTTTAGAGGCACTGGGTTGCAGGGTGGTTTGTTCCATAACTCTGCATAACTTTCAGATTCACCCTCCACTAGGTAATGTGTTTGTGAGGGGTGCCATTGTTGTTTCATGTGACATCACAATGAGTTGGGATCAGAGTATCCTTAAGTCTGCCATGTTGCCATCATACTAACCTGGGTCCCTGGTTTCTCAAAAAAGAAAGGAACCAGAAGTGACACTAGGAGCATAATGAAACACTTGGGGAAGGACAAGGAATGTGAAAAAGAGTACCACAAGTGGAATGGATAAAGACACAGCCAAAACACTCTGCCAAGGGGCTGTCTCAATGCACAAGGCAGCTGCTTAATGTTAAGTGTAGACAGAACTCATCTGTCATCTCACAGGCATGGGAGATTGATGGAGGAAAATGGTTTGAGAATTTAAGGCAAAGGGGGAGCTTTTCTTTTTTTTCTTTCTTTCTTTTTTTTTTTTTTTTTTTTTTGGTTTTTTGAGACAGGGTTTCTCTGTGTTTCTCTGTTTCTTTGCACCTTTCCTGTAGACCAGGCTGGCCTCGAACTCACAAAGATCCGCCTGCCTCTGCCTCCGGAGTGCTGGGATTAAAGGCTGCGCCACCACTGCCACCACTGCCACCACCGCCCGGCTTTTTTTTTTTTTTTTTAAAAACACAAGTATTTATTTGTGTGTGTTTGTGTGCACATTTGGGCACCCATGTAGAGGTCAGAGGACAAGTTGCTGGAGTTGCTCTCTCCCTCCACCATGTGGGTCCTAGGGGCTGCACTCAGGTTGTCAAGCTTGGCAGCAAGCTCTTGTACTTGTTAGGCCATCTCCCAGGCCCCAGAGGGGGACTTTCTGAGAACAGTCCTTAGTACGTTTCTCAGAGCTGTAAGGTGAGTTGTAGTAACTGCAGGTGTGTGTGTGTGGGGGACCTGTACACAGGACTTTGTTCCTAGTGGTATAGTGCAGAGCACCACAGGCAACACCAGGATGAGGATCTTCGTAACAGCTCCTGCTTCACTTGGACATGAGGGTCCTCAAGTCATTACACGGGGTTGTTGTTGCTGGGTTTTTTCTTTGTTTTGGTTTTTGAGAGAGGGTCTCATGAAGGTCAGGCGGGCTTTGAACTCATGTAGCAAAGAATGGTTTTGAATTCCTCATCTTCCTGCATCTACTCCTAAGTGCTGGGATTATGGGCATGTGCCAGCATGTCTAGCCATGAAAAATATTCTGAAAAGAGTATAAATCTTCTTTAAATCAATCTTTTCTATCTCAGTGCTAGAGATCAAAACCAGGACCTGTGTATTTACATTTTTTTTGGGGGGGGGGGTTTCGAGACAGGGTCTCTCTGTGTAGCCTTGGCTGTCCAGGAACTCACTCTGTAGAACAGGCTGGCCTCAAACCCAGAGATCCACCTGCCCCTGCCTCCCAAAGGCTGAGACTAAATGCATGTGCTATCAATGCCTGGTTAATTAATGCTTTTAAACAGTGATTCGAGTGCATAATGTATGCTCCTTAGTACAAAAAATGCCTTCTCAAAGATCTCTCAGGGCTAGAGAGATGGCCCAAAGGCTGCTTGCTCTTCCAGGGGACTTGGGATTGATTCCCAGCACCCACATGGGAGCTCACAACCATCTCTTAACTCCATTTCCAGGGTGCCCAGTGCCCTCTTCTGCCCTCTGCTCTCCACAGGCATGTACATGGTGGTCATAATGCAGGGAAAACATCCAGACACATACATTTTAAAAAATGTTTTCTGGGGCTGGAAAGTGGCTTAGAGGATAAGAACACCGGCTGGTCTTCCAGAGATCCTGAGTTCAATTCCCAGCAACCACATGGGATCTGGTGCCTTCTTCTGGCATGTGTATACATAATGAACAAACAAATCTTTAAAAAAAAAAAGGACTGGATTTGAACACATTAGAGGGAGACTTCTTATTTAATAAAAAAGTTCTCTATCTTCTCTTTCAAAAGCAAACAGAACTCTTATCATTTGAGTACGTAACAAATGTGAGCCAAAGTGACTGTGGGTAGTGCTGTGGTGCAGTGGAAACAATGGCTTTGGTATTAATCCTGAGCTACCATCACTTAAAGCTGTATGCCAGGCAGTGATGGCGCACGCCTTTAATTCCAGCGCTTGGGAGGCAGAGGCAGGGTTTGAGGCCAGCCTGGTGTACAGAACTAGTTCCAGGACAGCCAGGGTTGTTACACAGAGAAACCTGTTGAAAAAAGAAAAAAAAAAAAAAGGCTATAGGATACTAGCAGGTCCTACTTACCCCTCTGCTCATCTAAAATGGGATGAAGTCTAACTTGTAGGATCAGTTTTGAGAAGGAAATGTGATGGAGAACCGCATCAGTGTTAAACAGGCGGCAGGCACTAGGAAACAATGCCTGGTCACTGAACTTGTCAGACACAGTGAATGCAAGATGACTTGGTGGACACCTGTTCTGTGTGGGGGCGGGGAGATTGGGTTGGGGGCTGACAGGGTCTCACACTGTAGCCAAGGCTGCCCTTGTAGAAATCCTCCTGCTTCAGCCTTCTAAGTCCTGGGATTACAGTCATAAACCTCCAGCCGGGTTCTGTTAAACATCTTAACCTCTGCCTTTAACCCCCAAACATCAAACGCTTAAGGCCCCCAAATACTTTGCACTTCCCTCCCTCTCCCTTTGCTAAAGGGAGTCTTTTACTTAAGACCCTTTATCCCCATTTCCCAACAAATAGTTGAGTAGGCCTTCCTTAAAGGCCCCAGCGTCAAGTCCACACCCCTCTAGACAATCAGAGAGAGGTCCTCTCAAAATTATCTCTTCCCTACGCCCATCTAGTACACTGTGCTATCTATCTCATTTATTTTCTTGTTTCGTCTTTTTTCCCCCTTTGAGACAGGGCTTCTCTGTGTAGCCCTGGCTGGCCTCAAACTCAAGAGATCCCCCTGCCTTCCCAAATGCTGGGATTAGGAGCTTATGCCACCATGTCCACCTTCTTTTGGGTGTTGACACTCAGTGTAGCAGAGGCTGGCTCAAGGCTAACTCCTCAGACGTGTGAAGTATCCTCGCAGTACTAGAGCTGGCGGGCAGCTTCCTGCAGAGCAGGTCCTCATCTCTCCACCCCGTCCCTCTACCTGTTTGGTTCCAATTTCAAACATGGAAAAATGGGGACCCGCAGTCTTCAAGGATTACAGTATGCTCCCAGATGGGAAAAAATGTGACTCTTTCTAGAGGTCAAGTAAGCCACAAAATAAATGAACTAGCCATTAATGAAAGTTATTCTATAGGGCAGGCTGTCTTTCCTGGTGAAGCTAACTAAGCTTTAACTGAAGCAGGGACACCATCTGCATTGCAGTGGCCCCAAGGTCTAGGTGACAGCAGGAAAAACAACAACAAACATTCAGCTAAGGGGATCCAGACAGTAGGCACTCAGTTTATAAAGCAGCCCTTTGGCTGTTTTGTTCCTAACAAGTCTACTCTAGGGACCAGCTAGCCACAGTGCTCTCTTAAGTTTAGTACACTGAAGCCACACTTTTCGGGACCATGCAATGTGGAGGGCCACCCTCAAAGCCTCAGGCCCCAATGTCTTTCTATGGATACAATGTGCCGTGGGGCCAGTGAGGAGATTTTCTGTTTCTTTTCTTGTTTTAAGAAAGGGTCTTGGGCCCGGCGGTGGTGGCGCATGCCTTTTTAATCCCAGCACTTGGGAGGCAGAGGCAGGTGGATCTCTGTGAGTTCGAGGCCAGCCTGGTCTACAGAGCGAGCGAGATCCAGGAAAGGTGCAAAGCTACACAGAGAAACCCTGTCTCGAAAAACTGAAAAAGAAAGAAAGAAAGAAAGAAAGAAAGAAAGAAAGAAAGAAAGAAAGAAAGAAAGAAAGAAAGAAAGAAAGAAAGAAAGAAAGAAAGAA